AACATGCAATTCCTAGCGGGTTCGGTTGCAGCAGTTACTAAAASGAGACAGGTTTGTTTCTCAACTCCTTCAAACCTTTGGAAAGTTATTTTATCTCCATTTGCAACTTGGTCACCAGAGCGGGCCTGTCACCCGGCTGGCTGCTGCACAGGAAACACACAACTGCAAAACTGCTTCTAATTGAATCCTATCTTCATCTTGCCACTTTCCTTGCAGGGCGGTTATTTCAGCTTTCCAGGATGCAGTCATAGTTGGTCAGATTTTAAAAGTACCCCCACACACACACGGTGCCTTATGGAAACAGGTGCTTCTAAAAAAATGAAAGACTTTGGCAGCTCTTTGACCTGACATAGCTCTGTGCATTAGCAAGACACAGCGCCTGCTGAGTTCCCCCGAGTTAATTAGAGGACCSGTATGGCAATGAATGGCCTTGACTATAAATACTTCCTGAAAGATCTCTAACAGAGTCAGAGGAAATGGGAAAAAAATGAGATGCAGCTACAGAGAAACTATTTCAGATGTTGGTTCTTTAAAGAGCTGCTTTTTCTTTCTTCTTCCCCCCAAAGTGGCATGCAGTATCCTGGATCTTCACCCACCTAAACATGCATGATACGATTACATGCCTTTGAATTTAATGCCGCAGATCACCATTGAAATGCTGCTAATGAAGGTGGTGGCAAAGCACACAAAACCCTCCAGTCCACGACACYGCAGTGAGCACAAGCAAATTATATTTCAGCCAAGGCTCATGCCACTGACACTGCTAAGAAAATATTCAGTGTACTTGAACCTGCTGCCATTGTTTCTTGTGCTACTATTAAAGGCAGCAGCAACATCAACATGAGAGAGAAGCAGGTTTTACCTCAAAGGTATGTCATCCAGCTGACCAAGAATTTAGTGTTTATAAACATAAGAGAAATATTTTGGAAATCACAAAGGCCGGTTCGGCATTCCCACTGCACTGCAGGAGGCTGGCAGCTAACCCTTCAGACAACAGGAGCCAATATTGTATCACTGAAAATAGTAATTCACTACCAGAGATTATGACTGATATTTACTGCACTGATAAATCAAATGACAATAAATCAGTTATATTTAATTTTATTAATATCTACTTACATATCTATTACCTATTTTTAAATAAACTCCATTAATCAGCCACATAGGTGAATGCAAAATAAAGAACAGAGAACTTTTCCTGATTTCCTCTTTCTCCTAAATATCAAGACATACAGCTCTAGAGAGAAATGCAAAGATCACAGCTGAAACCTAACACTTGTTCAAGTATACGGAAATTTTCTTGAGAGACCCTAATTTCCTGTAAACAGCCCAATCATGCATGGTGCAAAGCATCCACAGTGTAAATGCAGAGCTAATTTCATCCTTCACCCCTCATACAAAATGCCTGTGGTACATATTAATGTAGCTTCAATTACCCATGCAAATAGTAGCCTGAAATCTGTCCTTGATAAAAATCACCAATATCTTTGCAATTGTCAAAGCCCTCTCTCCTTCTCTCTGGCAGTCTACATTTCCCCCTGTTCTACATGAATTATGATGAATTCACAGGCATCTCCATACTCCTTTCAGGCGTGTGCAGTGCTGTAGGACGCGCTCGTCAGTGGTATCCTGCCTCTGGGCACGTTGTGATGTGTTTGCCCATGGCTTTAGGCTGACTGGGCCTGCATACAGATCTGAGGGCTRAGGCTGGAGAATTTCAAATTTTGTGGAAAACCTCTCACTATGGTGTCCACACATAACAAAACCAGACACTTCATTTAAAATCAGTTTGGTAAAAAGTTCCTGCTGTCCAGGATCAGCATTGTCAAAGCATGAAACAACCTGGCTGGTTCAGAGTCTGCTGGCTGTCAATGTGCCACCCTCCCCTCACCCCCCCCCMAAAAAAGGGAACATTTTTGCATCTCAATAGACTTTCCAGTATCAACAAATCTTCAAACTATAAAATCAGCTACTCTGAGGAAGAGCAGAAATAATGTCTACATTGTACCATGCTGAGGCACTTTTTTTTTGTAATACCCATTTGCAAAACATACAGATTCGTTGTAAGTACAGCTGCTGGAAGCATTTTAATAAGAAAAATAAATGAAAGCTACTCACAGAAGTGTAACAAGCCCCTGAGAAAGATTCTGTTACATGCACACAGCTTGCAGCCTCTYGCTGCGGAGAACAGGGGCGCCCACTGCCCAGGCGTGAGCACACACAGGCATCGCTCAAGCTGTTACCATCGCAGTGTCTCCATCGCCTGAAAGGTGTTTTAGCCATGCAAAGGAAATAAAAACCCTATCCTAATGATAGCCATGAATAACCTACTGTTGCACACAGACTGGGGAAGGAGCACGTCCGCCAGGCATTGGGGGAAAACAAGAAAGCAGCACAAAAACAGCTTGCAGAACATACAATGCTGAAAAGCACTTGAAATAATTTACCAAAGTTTGCTATTCTCCAGTATTCATTACAGAATTATGTGAGCAATTGTAGATTGTCATTCTTTTCCCAGTTTATCTGTATGTTCTTTGATATTTTATTAAAATGCTAATAACTGCTATGATAAACTCAGGTTCTAGAAAACTGACTTGCAATATTAATCTCTCTATATATGAAAAAGGTGTGAAAAGTACCTGCCCTTCCCCCAGACATCACAACAAGAGATCTCAAAAAGGAAATCTATGTGCTATTATTGCGACTGTTTAAATCATTACAAAGCTTTCTTAATAAGTAGAACCACTCTATAAATACTGAATACAAAGCACGAGCAAAGGGATGTGTTAGAGGATTCCACTCCATTTCTCACACTGTTTATCCACYGAGTGTCTACAGCGATTTTATTACAGGTTTTGTTTCCTAGCCACCCGTTGTCCTGGGATACAGTATTTTGTACAAGAATTCATTATATGACTCCAGAAGTAGGTATTAATCTTGTGCTTGTGCTTGTGTTTTTTTAGTGTTTTTTTTTTTAATAAGGCCCAGTTTTTAGCATAAGATTAACTATTTCTATTAGTTTTATTCACATTAGAGAGATACATTTCCCTCAAAAACAGGTAATCCTGTAAGAATTACTTAACAGTAAGCACTCTTCTTTTTCATTCATATATGTATATACACACACACATATATATAGGTGTGATATATACATATATATATAAAAGGATTACAAAAATAATTTTTTTTCTAGAATGATTTTTTTTTTYCCTGAATAATTACATACTCTGTCTAGGACAAGTCAGATACAAAGCTCCCCATTACTACGTCTTTGTACTTAGCAGCTCAAGTATTTCATCTCATTACTCGGTCCACAGAAAACTAGATCAAGAATAAGATAAAGGCATTAGATTTCTACGATTCTTTTCACTGATCCACAGGAATATCCACCTATTTGAAGAAATAATACCAGGGTACTTCGTTTTTCTGAAAATCCTCCAAGTGATCAAAATACTGAAACTATTTGAAATATTTGAAAACAAACGTATCAGCATTGTCATATATAAGCATGAAAAGCATATCTGAACTTATTTTAAAGAARGACATAAAAAGCAGCCATGACACTTCTGTCTTTTCCGTTCACTGGAAAAGGATAAGCAGTAAAATGAAACCATTATATACATTAAATTTTGAGGCTCCCATCAATGAAGCAAAACAAGATCTTTATAGAGTCAATTCTTCATACTGTCTAGTGCCTTAGCAGATTTTTGTTTACTTGTTTTTATGCTTTTGTTTCTATAACAGAATATTTTCAAATAATTGATGAAATTTACTTCTATTCTGATATCCCAAAATAAAACGGTTCCTCTGGTCAATATGTTTACAAACTGCTAAGAGACACTACAGAAAGTGAGGGAGGTATAACCAGTGCTCTATGTACAGAATGAATCCCATTGCTAGTCAGGTATATGTACAAATATATTTGCATATCTTTTAACACAGGAGAAAGACATAAAACTATCRTGCAAACACACACACAGATTTGCAGAAGGAAACTTAGCATCCCATGATCATTTTTCATAGAGCTAAAAGTTGACATTAGTAACTTTTCATGGTCTATAAGGCAAAAAGGTCCGTGGTCCCCTTAAACTGCATGTAGACTTTAAGGTGCAGAGATATATTTTATACTTAGAATTATTTTAGTTTTTTTAACACTGCTGACTTGAACAAGAAGAGCTCATGAGATTTATATACGTATTCAGAGATTTACATATGTATAATCTTAGCAGACCATGGAATAAAACATTTATCTTGACTTTTACATTCTTCTGACATGTTCACACTTACAGTAACAGATGATATGGTTATATAAGATGATAAAGAAAATAGCTGATTATGACCTCCAATCTAGTTAAGTTTATCTGCTAACTGAACATTATTGTAACAGCTTCCTAACAGTTCAGGACTCAAGGAGAAAATCACTCATTTTTCTACCTGTTCCTCTGAATTTGGGAGCTCTTCTAAACTCAGATTTCCCTACAGTGGAAAAACATACCTTAAACGAAGTGGAAGATCTTCATATATGGCTTAAAAAAAAAAAAAAAAAAATTCCTACCCCCCCTCCAAAAAAAAAAAATTAANCTTAAAGCACAGTAGGAAAGCAAAGGTAAAGGTTGATACAACCTGTTAAAAGTTTTGAATACTTCTTCATGTCAAGCTCTTTCATATCTCCCTTTATATGGCTAAAAAAAAAAAAAAAAAAATTCCTACCCCCCCTCCAAAAAAAAAAAATTAACAATTAAAAGAACAGAAATTATTTCGTACAGTGAATATTCTTTCTTACAAACCAATTTCCTTCCTTTTCTCTTTCTTTTTTGTGCTTCCAAGGCAACCAGACAAGTGTCAAAACGTATATGTAATTATGGTGCTTTGCAAGAAAAAAAGGCACTTTTTATTAATATTTGACTCAGGTTTCATATTCTTCGATATTTAATAATGCGAAATCTTGCTTAAGTGTGAACTGTCACACCACCTCAAAATTTAAGAGGTGATTAGTTGTTTTAATATAACAGATGTGCAGCCTTCTGGGGTCTAAACCTTCTTTCTTCAAATGCATCATCAACCTGCGCAATTAGCAGGAATGATTAAACAAAATTCAATCAGAGTTAAATAGCAAAAGCAAAAGCACTTGCTTACTAATAGTGCATCAATATATACAATGTTTTATGCAAACACTTTTGAACATTTACCTGCCAATTTAGCTCTAGCAGTTTGAATCTTTGAGTTTTCCTCAAATTTTTTTTCAACCCCCTCCAAGCATGGAAAAAAACCCATCAGGTTGGAACTGAGGAAATCACTTGCATGATTAATTAAACACAATGTTAGAAAAAGGAGAAAACGAGAGCTTCCTACCCGTAACAGGGACTGGGATTCATCCTTGGACTTGCTGTCGCCGGATGCCGGGTACTGCTGCGGGAGCGGCCCGGCCTTCTCGGCCGCTCCGGAGGCCACGGCGGGCAGGAAGGCCTTGCTCTCCACGGCCAAGCCGTACATGGGCCGCGCCAGGTGGGCGGCTTCCACGTTCGGACTATCCCGCAACGGCTTCGGCTGCTCTTGGCCCACGGACACTGGGGTCAACAAGCCCAAGCTGGTCTGCGTGTAGGATGGGCTCCCCCTCAACATGTCCGTTCCCCTCCAGGGCACGCTGCGAAGATCGTCGCCGGGGCTCTCAGTCCAACCTTTGTCCTTCAGCACTTCCTTCTCTTCTATCTTCTCCCTCTTCACTACGCTGTCAGAGAGGGGCTCCCCCAGCTTGGGGTCTGGGTTAATGAGGCTGTAGACCTTGAGGTCGATTTTTGGCTCCTCCTTGATGGACGAAACGCCGTGGCCGTCCTCGCCGTTGGCTGTAGCGACGTCCATCTCCTGACAGTGCACAGTGTTGAAGTGCTCGAGTAGTGACTGAGTGTCAACAGCCGTGAAGCTGCACTGACGGCATTTGTAGCAGTTATGTACTCTCCTGCAACAACACGAGGGCAGCATTCATGGTAAGAGTCTCCCCTCACCCTTCCCTTGCTTGCTAATTTCACCTACCAAGATGCACAAGCAGACGGAAAAAGCCCAGACTTACAGTATAATTCACTCCAAATAAACAATGTGGATTTACTTTGTTATCTTCTACAATACACTGCGCAAAAACCCTGCTAGTACAACTGTGTTTCTTTCCCCACCAYGCTTACAACAACCTCCTATTGTTCATTCCTGCACCGCTTCCTTACTCACAATTCCATACAATTTTCACCAGGATTCTGTACTATTCTTCCTCCTCAGTTTGCAGCAATGCACTTCTCACTTTTTGTCACGGAATAGGCAGTAGGAATAGGCTGAAGTAACTCATTTTTTTCAAACAAAAATTAAACAGAACAGGATATATTTCCTTGCGTAGAAACACTTCATATAGTTTAAATCTATGTAAGAAAGTTGAAATACTTAAAAGATTGCTTTGCTTTCCACCAATTACAAATATACTTTGTTGACAAATATAAATTTGCATGGAGCTCTAGTTAACTAGATAAGCACACACCAGAGCACCAAAGGATTCATGCAAAGCAACACTTATTTGCTCTCTGCGGATATTTAAATACAACCATAGAGGATGCTGCTCTGAAGGAAAAGCAAAGTAGCTGGCTGCTGACATAGCAAGCTGCATTTTCCTGACAAATATAGAAGCATTTGGGTGAAGCACGACAGGCAAAGGAACAACCGAGCTGTGACAGAGCTTGCAAAAACCTGTGTAGGAGCGTGAAGCTGTGTGCCTTCCCGCTCCCTTTCAGAAAAGCTAAATAAGTACTGCCTTACTAAATTATGTAAAACATATGTTGCTACATTGGAACAACATGTTACCCGCTTGCTGTACCTATTGTAGGGGCAGTGCACATTTTACAAACTCTCTAAGGCTATTGTGAATAACTGGTTATGGCTCAGAAGCAGTTCGAGGCCGTGCTCAGGATACCTTGACTACCCATCCACACAGGACAAAACTCAAACGGGAAATCAGTTACTGCCAGGACAGCCCTGACTGTCTGGAGTAATTCTGTGGAGGCCAAATCTGAGCCTCCGCAAAGTCAATGGCAAAGCTCCCACTGACTTCAGTAAGAGCAGGATTTGGCTTTCGGTGCATCTTTGTAACTGGAATGATATACAAAATGTCCCTTCTAAACTGTGAGAGTTTAGCAGGGACAACTTGCCAAACTTAGCAGAAAAGCCTCGTCTTCCTTCTTGCCGTTTGTTGGAAAAACAAACCATATGTTATTTACATTGTCTGATTTTTCTGCAGTTGTGTCAGCGTGCAGACATGAGCGCACACTCAAATTCAAGCCTCCTAGCCCTTGTGTAGTATCAGCTTTCTTTTTGTCATTCCCAGTATTTATGTTCATTTTAAGGGACTAGATGGTCTCGTCCAGTTACACAAAAAAATAGTCAGCTATTCTCCATGTAGCCTTATGGCAAAAAAACCTGCTTGTGGGAGAGAAAGCTGTGCGTTAAAATTCTGTTCTGGCTGAGTTCCTTCTCTTTTTTTTTTATTCTACAATTGCTTTTTATTAAAATCAGCTTGTCTCTCAATGCGACACTAATATATTCTTCTTGCAGCTTAATTCTTTTCTAAACCCAGCTTAATTCTCTTCTGAATCAAAAAAAAAAAAAAAAGAGTGATATCTGATCAAAACCATTTTGCAAAGACAAAAGGCCAAGTTATAAAGAGGGTCAGCCATATAGAGGTGGGATATCATCAGGGAAGTCCAAGTTAGACAGGGGCTAGTTATCTTAAAAGCCAAGTTAAACAAGACACCATTTGGGGCTAATGGTTCAACCCCACACACTCCCGATGTGAAAGTTTATCAATCCTTTGGGAGGCTACTTAGCCCTAAGTGTCTCTTGTTTAACTTGGCTATTTGAATGGCTAACCCCCTTTTCTAACTTGGCTCACATCAACAGATATCACACCTTCAAACAGCTGATCTTTTTCTCCCTAACATACCTCTTTATTTTTTTTTTTTTTTTACATGCTGGTTAAATGTTTTTGATCAGGAGTTGCACGTACCACACTTACTAGGCTACAAAAAAATGTGGAGCATTATGTAGAGGCTCTTAACTCCAGCACAAAATAGCTTTATTATTTAAAATGTTTATTATTTTAATTTATGAATAAAATGTATTTTATTCATAATTTACTAATAATTTTTATTAGCTTRTCTGTGGAATTGACATAGGAACTTCCATCCTGATGGAAAAGATGAGGACTGATTTAGATCGGTATTAACAGCATTGGATTCTTGTTTGGGTCCAGTACTCTTCTAGTATGCAATAAAATTAATCCTTGATGTTAACACTATAGATTTTCATGCTTCACATAGGCTTGTTCTGTATCTATCCAAGAGCTCAAAGGGCAAGCTAAGGTTTAGAACTGCCCAATAAAAGTCATAATCTCAAACCATAGAATCATGAAGGTTGGAAGGGACCTGTAGAGATCTGAAAAAAAAGGTTTTTTTTTTTTTAGAATAACTATCTACTAACGAAGTTAAAAAAAMCCAAACTATTATTTTTCCACAAATAAGATAAAAATAAGTATGCTTTCATCTCTGATTTTTTCATGCCAACCTGACTGCAATCAAAGGATAAGTTGGCAATGTTTTATTCCTTTTTATATGGAATTTTAATCTGAATTTAATTTAGAATTTAATTATTTCTAAAAGCCCAAATTCCACTTGCATACAAAGCTCCCCAAGGCCAAACAAGAGACTTTTTAAAACTTGCAGTTTGCACAACACACAATAAGCACTCTTGTGCATGACTTTGGAGTTATAGTCTAGCTACACCATGGTTATATCTTCTGAAACACTGAACTCCTCAAGATGTCATATGGTATATACGGAATAATGATGTACAGGGCCTCAGTGTTCAAATGGGAGGTGTTTGAGGCAAATCACAAGGAGTGTTCTCCCTTTCATGACCTTGCTGATACACGATTCAAGCAAGCTAACAGAAGGTTCAAGCCATAAATTCACATCATCCTTAATATTGCTTTAGGAAGGCAATGTCATACCAGTCATTGATGTCATTTAGTATTATTATGATTATCACTATAAAAGACCTGATTATTTGCAGACATTAAAACATTTATGATCCAATCATAAGATTAAATGTCAAAGAATTCTGGCCAAATCTTTGTTGGATTGCTACGTTCTGACATCTTAATTATCTGCTGTTGTTATTTATTTGTACTGAAATGTACTTGAGTTAGGTGATGCAAGATATAAGGATTTTGCCTTGCAAAAGCTTGAAGCTGGAGAGATTAGATGTCTGTTTTTTTGATGGATTTGATGTTCTTTACTTGAGATTTCTAATAGGCTGTGATATTCTTGACACTAGCCAGTTGTTAATTAAGTCTTGTTGACATACTTCTAACTAGCCTGAAGAATTACAAAACCTCATCCTCTACAAAAGAAGTCATTAAAAAGAAAATACCTGAAGACATTCCTTTGCTTTAGGGCACATAAAATATTCTGACTAAAGGTACAACTGGTATATTGATACTTTTTTTTTTTTTGGGGGGGGGGGGTTGGGGGGGGTATTTGAATAATTTAATTATGAATATAATAGTTACTAATACTTCTTATGGAAGCACATGCATCTAAGACAGCTTGCTTTTGCAACGTCTGCTACATTGGGGCTTGTGGGAAAAAGAAAAAAATATTTAGGAGAAAAGAGYGAGAGTGAAGCAAGGAAGGTGCGAGGAGAACAGAAAGGTCCTTGCAACAGCAAGACACCTTCACCACAAGCTGCCCTTTTTAAAAATCTAACTGGCTGAGCCAGTTGCAGTGAACTTAGTGTGTTTTGATTCCCTGACTGGAAATTAAGTCCTTTTTCTAGGTGAAGAATTTCAATTCTTCTGCAAGAGACCCACATGCAACTGTTGTCAACTACATTTTCAAAATAATTCCTGTTTCTTAGAGAAAGTCTGCCACAGCTGCCAGAGGCTGCATTGCATTTGTGAATCTTTCTATTTTTCTTTTTTGTTTTGCAATTGTTTGATGAATAACATAGAGTCACTACCCCACCTCTTTTTGGAACATTGTTTGGAGCATTTTTCCACATATCATTTCTTAATTTTCACTGGCACTGACCAAATGCTTTCTATCAAAGTCTTTTCTGACAAATGAAGATTTTCATTAAACATTCTAATTTTTCCAAATATGAAGAAATGTACTATTTGCCCACATCTTAGCAAAACTCTGAAATAAAAACATTTCTCTGCAAAACGCCCCTTTCAGTTTCAATTAAAAACATGACATTTTAAAAATGTTTAATCTCTGGAGTGAGTTAACCAAAGTGCAAAATCTCCCCAATTAGTCAGTATGATTTTTCTTTAAATTACAAGTGTTGGCATCTTCCAGTTCATCAGACAGCTTTGAAGAAAAACTGAACTTCACCATGAACATGAAGAATACCCGATTCTTCAAAGGTATAAGGGCAAATGAGCAGTAGCAGAATTAGTAGAAAATGTAGGCCAATAAACCTTCTGGGGAGCTATTTGAGGAAGCACATTTTAGTCTGTTTTAAATAAAAGAAAGCTCAAGTGCAGTGTCATTCATTAACTTCCAATTTAACTGAATAGCTCTTAAATAATCATGTCAGGAAAATTCTGAAGGAGKATTAAAGGTAAGTATACATTTCTGTAGGCAGAAAGCTTGAAAAGTGCTCCTTTCGTAAATCCTAATACAGATAATCCAAATACAGACAGAGTATTTCCAAATATTATCAAATGCAGGTACAGTATTCCTGAAAGGGAATAACAGTGAAGAAAAAAATATTTTAACTAACAGAGAAATTGAAATTGTGGACATAGAGCCAAACTGGGGAGGGAAAAAAAAAAAGAAAAAGCTCACTGCTCATGTGTATGATAAAAGAAAAAAAAAGAATCAAAAATGCAGAAAAAATATATGGACTCATATCTGTAAGTGGCATCTAAAGCAAGCTCTGTCACTGGCRGATTATCAAGGATAAATCTGAATATGTGAATGGCAGAAACACTTTCTGTCGCTACATTAATGCTTAATGTTGTGTTTGCTATTCAAATGCGTTCAGCTCCTCAGTGTGTCAAATGGTGGCATCCATTCTGGGATACCTCTTCCATTACAATTATAGAATGCAGAATAAAAGGATCATAGATTTGTGCTTGCAATTTGATAGGCTGTRTATCTTTGTRCACATACACACACACACACACACAYATATATAAAATTTAGAACACATTGGAAATACGTAGCAGTGTGGCACAGCGGTGTGGGATAACCTCTGCTTGATGAAGCCCCAGAGAAGGTCAGGTAGGATATGAGCTGACTCATACCTCATCAGAATGTTTCTACGTGCTATAACCCCAAAACATAACTATTACTTACAAAAGTTCTGCTTTTTAAAAAATCTAGCCTACTCTGTATCCTTTTTGCACAGTGTACAAAAAAAGGAAAGGAAATGCTTAACTTAGAGAGGTGTAACTGCTATAAAAAAAAAAAAGACCAATTAATAACAAAAATAGCAACTCGCTTGAATGCCAGGAGAGTCTTTCATTCCCTATACTTCAGTTTGACATATTGAAAACTATAGAATATGTCGGCATAGAAAATTTTCTAAAGTGTTTGCTATGGCAAAGCAGCTACCAAAAATTCAACTAATTTCTGCAGCTTCAAAGACATTGTACAATGTGTGTGGGGGGGGGGCGGGGGGGAAGCTGCAGTGCACAGGAAGAAAACAAAACTCAAGTTAGAAGGGAGAGTGGAGCGCCAAGGTAGGATGGGGAAAGATGGTGACTGTTGTGGGGATTATGTATTTTGCTTTAATTACATAGTATCCTCAGAGCACTCAAGCAATATGCTAGCCTGAAAGTTTAAAAATATGTTGTCCAGGTGTCTTAAACAGAATGGCTTAATTTTAGAAAAACAAGCTTAGCTCCAAATGCTTAAATGCAACTCCTGCTTTCCAAAGTGCATCCCACACAGCAGCTCCCTTTGACAGCTATGACTGCTGTTGGGTGCTAAGCACTTTGAAAAAGAAGCTACTCCTGTAAGATATCTAACTTACAGCACTTAGCTTTGAATCTTGTGGCTTCTCCTTTTCTTGGAGAATAATGATTTTAACTAGGCTTGCTTGTTAAAACTTAAATTACCAGCTGCAGCAAAATAAAAGTGTTTTTCAGTCAAGGAGTCATTTCAATCTTCCAGTTATTTAACCACTAAAAAAAGACCGTGCCATGCCCCAGCGGCGGACAAAGTGCTGCCTATGGAGTTCTACGGCACGGCTCAAAGCTGCTGTAATAATGCTTGGAACTTAGATACCACTTTTCATCTTCAAAGCAGTTTACAAACATTAACTAATTAATCCGCACAACATCCCTGAGGCCCACTTGGATCAAAAATGGGGCACTGCATGCTGGGACCTGAATCCTCCGTGGGCTCTAGCTCCAAATTAAAGATGAGCAATCTTTCCCCTTTTTTTTCCTTTTTTTTTTTTCTTTTTTTAAATAGACTCCTGATACAATGCCAATGCAGCCCTCTGTTGGGCAACATTTGGATGCCCCCAGCTTTAATCTCTATTAAAGTATCATGCCCCAGTCTGCCTTTGTTAATTTTGGATGTCTTGGAATCTATTAAACGTGGCACAGTGTCTTGTGCTTTTAACAAAGCTCCAGCTTTGAAAATTCATCGTCTTTTGTCTTCATGCTAGCTGGCTTCCACGCAAAGATCTTTCAGATGAGATATATACTGGGTTTTCCGTTGTTGTTGACGCATTAGTCTTAACTATTAACATATTCAGCACGATTTTCTAATATTTAACATTGCTTTTGCAGCAGTACATAACTGTTGCTCTTCACCAAGTCCAAGAGCTGGATCCTCCCCTGATGTAAACTGGACTGCCAGTTTACAACAGCAAAGGAACTGACCCAAAAAGTTTAACAGGGAGTTGGCTGCCATCGTGACATTGTGTCAGACTGAGTCAGGAGACTGGCTTAGTCCACCTCCAAATAGGAACATTAGCATTTAAAATAAATAGAATGACACTGTGAAGCAGCAACACAAAAATAATCATCTGCAAAAGGATCTCGAGGGATGACATCAGCAGACAAAAGAGTGTCTGCTCCCAGTGTGAAACCAACACCAAAACAGCAGTGGAATGCTCTTAAGCTAATTATTGCATTGCTGGACTTCGGCATGGAAAATACTACAAAAAGGTAGTACATTGAAGCACTGTTACAGAGCATGAAAGGATTCATAGTCTATCCTGGAAAGTGAGCCATTTGTGTTCCCCCCATGAATGAAGATGCCAGCTTTCTGGTTAAAAAACAAACAAAGGAAAAGTCTACGTTAAAATAGTACCTAAAAGATTCTGAGTGGAAAATAGCTGACCAAACCTCAAGTATGCTAGAACTGCATCATTTACGCACAAATCCAAATTTCTCTCTTCATTGCACAGGTTTCAATGTATAATTAAGCCCACTGACTTAGCTGGTGTTTTTCCAACACAAAGTGGATGTTGGATTGGACCCTGGCTATAAAGATTTATATCTATACATACTCCTATTTTGATTTCCAGATTCTTCAGTGTTTGGGGAACAGCAACACTTGAGTAAGGCATGAAAGGAGGGCTGTTTGTTTGGGTTTCTGCTATTAATCACGTTAAACTGCACCGTACCTGTAGTGTCGGGAAATCTCCTCTTCCACCTGGGTGGTAAAGTCACATTTGGTACATGAGTGTTCTTTGTTCTCTTTGAGAGTCAGCGGCCCCTCGCTCCCCTGCAGCGCATTTGTTTCTTGTTTGACATCGGATGCCTGGGCCTCGTGGGCATTCTCGTAATGCAGCAGGAGCACGTCGACATCGGGAGTGGAGAATGAGCACTGATGGCACTGGTGTTTGACTCTAGAGCTTCCTGTCACCCCTGGAGACAGGTGCAAAAGCAAGAGAGCACAGTGGGAACAATTACTTTTTCGGCAAGCAAATGGGTAAGTAATTTCTCCAAGGTGCTTTTCTGGGCTGCAGAGGCCTCGGGGACAGAACTGACAGTGCTTAATGGTACATTTATGAATGTTGTGGAGCTGCTGATAGTGATGGAGAAGTGGGCCCACCACTATTACGTCTGGGCCATGGCTCTTTGAGTACCTAAAGTCACAGAACTGACAGTTGTAGCTTGTCACCATGCTGTCCTCTGCTCCTTTGCTAGACAAGTCTTTCTTTTTTGCCACACTTGCACCCTTTTCTGTCTTTGTCACTAATTCCCCATCTGCATTTTTGGCTAGATCATTCTGGTTAATGACAGATCCCCTAGAAAGCTTATCATTCAGATCTGGGTGCAGGCTTCCTGACTGGTTTCCCCCATGCTGTTTGCTGTAATGTTCTAAGAGCTTCAATGAGCTGGACGATTCGCAGCTGAAACTGCAAAATTTACACCAGTAGTAACTGGTTGTATCGGTACCGTTTTGTCTAGAGGAATCTATTGGCTTGATGGGCACCGAATATCCAACTGGTGTATCATCTCCTGCTTTTACAGTGATTCTGTCTTGCCACTTCCCCAAGTCTCCAGAATCACATGGTCGAAGAGTAGGACTGGACTTATTGGAGTTTTTCTCTGAAGTTTTACCAGAATCAGAGGAGGGAAGGGCTGCTTTCATTTTGTTTGGGTGAGTCTGTAAGAAGTGTTGCTCTAGTTCAGTGGACGAGTTGCCCATGTAGGTGAAATTGCAGAATTTGCAGCGGAAGTACTTGGTGTTGCCTTGGCAATCTGGAGTTTTCCGCCCAATGCCAATAAACGTTCCACCTAAAGTAACCTGTGAATAAAGAATAAGGCCCTTTTAGCTCCATTTCAGATTTACTCAAATAGCAAGGACGGAAAAACATAAGAGAAACAAAGAGCAGTTAATTAAGCGTCTTTCACCAACCACCACCAGAATTTCTGTTTGTACTTTTGTACTAATGCAGCAAGACATCACACTTACACCCTCATTTATTTAGCACTTGCAGTTGAAAATTTTGAAAGGTTTCACAAAGCTGAATACATATTTCATATGAATATTAAATATTCCTGTTTGGGAAAAATGAAACACATATTGGCAACATGATCCAAACTCAAAACACTCTAACACGAATCACTTAGTTTTGCTATTGCAGGATGATCCAATAATTATTTCCCAAAGCCCTAAACCTATTGTTGGGAGACTTCAGTGGGACATGTACAGAGAAAGAGATAGATAAATACATAGATAGATCCTAGCATATATGTATGTACATACACACCAGGTATGGAGTAAACAAATGGGCCCTCCATCTTTTTCTATACACTTCAGTATTTTAATGATATTCATGCTTAATGGCCCAGGAGACTTGTTTTCAAAATATGAGTAAAGAAGTACTGAATTTAAAAACGTGACTGCAGTTTGCTTCCTACAAAGAACATTCTTGTAAGCGTTTCCAATATCCACCAGGCCTCCTTTTAAGAATGCTGGAGCAGCCAATGCATGAAATAAAAGGCCGTTTTCTCATGATTACTCAGTCCAAATGTTCTCCAAGGAAATCTCTCCCTCTCATATACAGAGCTCAACGAAGATGGAAAAACTACAGTAGAAAAAATGGCATGTGGCAACGCAACCTACCACACCCAAATCCCGGACTTCATTAACTCACAAGGAAAAAAAGGTAGCTCTGCCTTGCTACTCTCGTGATGTGGGAGCAAAGTGGTCGGCAGGAGGGCAGAGCAGCTCCCAGGGCTTACGTTACTGGAAGAGGCGTCTCGAGCAGGCCGGCCGCCCTTCCCAGGGGAGCACCACACCTGCCTGCTGACATCAGGGGGAGATTTGCTGCTCCTGTACAACTGGCCTGGAGGCCAAAAGAGGAACGTCACCACTCCTACCCTTCTAAAAATCAATAAAAACTATACGGCATCCAGAACATGACTCCTCTTCCCATCCAAAATTCAGGGCCAGCTACGCCTTTGCCATCATCAAGTCTGCTCCACTGAATCAAAGACATGGGTGGAAGCTTCCTAATGCCATGGTCTCAGTTTTTATGTCCAAAAGATGCCTTAAAAGGAATGTAAAATTTCCACAAAAGGTTAGATTTGCATTCTCCCAACGAGTAAGCATATTACTGCATTTCTACAGGATTCAGTTATAATGTGTTAGGCAAATAGTGCAATTATTTTTCTTCTCTTTCTCAACAGCTGTGCCCAAAGAAAGCATGTGATCACTGCTCATTCAGTGTCCTGCCATACGGAAAGACTCAGACATACAGAGAGCACAAACTGTAAACATTTTTAAATGCATATAATACAAATGCCTTTTAGCCATTTAATTTGGAGAATGAGATGCTAGACTGTGTGTGCCATCAGAACTGAACACACATAGTGAGTCAACGCGCTGCTAAACACTGATATAATGAGCTGCTTTTCAGCCTCTGATTCTTTTTCTAAAAGAAAGCAGAGTTCCCATCAGCTGGTTGAAATTGTTTTTTCTTTCTAATAAACTGAGAATTGATTTCTATTTGTTTAGAAAACAAATTTCAACAGGCAATGGTGAGCCAGACAGTCTGGGATAGGAATAACTAGGATGTAACTACAGTAACATTTACATTGAAACTGGAATTTCAAGTTCTAATATCAAGTTATGAATATCCCATTTTGTTTCAAGATTTGAAAGGGCTCTTTGGAAGAGGAATATTTTAACACACCTTCTGCACTGCAGAAGATACTTTGTTTTATTCACTTTATGGCTAGCAAGAACTGGAGACAGAAACCATACTGAGCCTGATTCACTGGCAGTAGCGGATTTGGGCTCCCTCCATAGTGTCTGGCAGACGAGGCCTCCATCTACTGCATTAATCCAATGTTCAAGGTCTCACTGGTGTCAAAAGACATCTTAAAAAGAGCAATGATGGAATTAYGGTAAACAGAAAATAACAGCAGCTCACCATGGGATTTCCTATGTTGTGAAGGATCTGGTTTTGCTCATCTGTTTAGTTGCTTATGTTCGCCTCATAAACTGGACAAAATTCTTTACCTTTAAGTGCTTCCAATGAGTATATATCCATTATTCTTAGGTATCAATTCACAGAGCCTAGAGATGGAAAACTTATTTTGCAGGCACTCTGTAAACACTTAAAAACTGTGAGGGACAATTTCAGCTGCTGTTCATTGCTGATTACTCTAAACACTGACATTTCTGAAAGAAACAAATTCTCAACACTGGAGAAACATTAATATTAGGATTTTATACAACAGAATATCTGCAAGTAAGTACATTTCAGTAAATCCAGCTTAATGGCCTACATAGTAAATTTGCTAATATCTCTCTCTGCATCTGAGAAGGATAAAGGAGAACTTAGTATTAATATTTTATTTCTGTTTGACTGTTACAATAGTAGTGTATGTGTAGGGAGAAAGAATCTTTGAAGCACTGGAATACAATTGATTATTAATTATCAGGTTGGTATCCAGCCACAATTCAAAATAATTTATGCTATTAGGAGACTGTGTACATGAGAGGTAATACAGGGCCATCTTTATGTTATTACACGCAATTGTATGTTATTACATACAAAGCCATGGATGAGCTAAAGAGTGAGAGAATTAAAGAAACTAGCTTCCACAAAAAGAAGTTGGGAGAAGCACTTGAAGGAAAATAGTAATGATATAAACTGAAGCTGCTTCATCTTCCAGCCAGACAAATTTGGGTGATGCCTACACATCTGCATAACTGTTTAGATTAATGCATTCTACTCGAGTCTTGGCTTGACTTTCAGATTTTTTGGTTACCCACCAGATCTCTATGAAAGGGCAGAAAACTCCTTCAGTGCATTTGTAACTGTCTCTCACCTTCTTCAGAGAGAGAAAAAAAGAAGAAAGATAAAGAAAGAATAAAAATAAATATACATACACCCTAGAAATCAATATCTACATTTTTAAAGATAGCAGAGGTATCAGGTTCAAGTATTTACTTCCATATTTCACTTTYATCTAAGCAAAATCTAGTCCCCTGCTCTGCACTCATATCTTCTTATGCAGATGCTCTTCCTAAAAGAAATCAGAAGGAAGAAAACCAAAGCAATGTTCTACAATTCTACGAGAAACTCTGCAATTCTTAGAGAGCTGTAAAGTCCAAAATTCCTCTTCATATCTGGTGGCACTCTGGATTAGAAGACTGGTTTGGAGAGGTAAGGATCCTACAGATAAATGGTTCCTTCAAAAAAAA